AGAGACTGGACTGCCATCTGTCAGAAATGGTGTAGGGGCTCCTGCTTGGGGGGGTTGGACTAGATGACCTCCAAGGTCCCTTCCAACTCTATCATTCTGTTAAAAGAAATCAGACACAACATTGTAGCTCACCTTAGGACATTTGCCTTGTTAATTCCCTGCCTTTTAAGCCTGCCAGTCACCAGGCTTGGTTTCTTGGTGATGAAAATGCTCAGGGCCAGTAGGAATGGAGTAGCTTTTCTGAGCCTTTTGGCTGTTGCGCAATTCATTGGGTCAATCCCCCTAATTTTCATGTCATTCTTTTTTTAAAAAAATATTAACTTTATTGGCATTGACCCGCCCTCCTCCTTGTCAGCATCTTTATTTTATGATAATGTTCTCCCAACTTTTCTATTAACAGAGCAGCCATGCAGCAGATAATTAAAAATAAACAGTCTTAAAAATACAACCTATATTTAAAAGAATGCTTTTACATCTTATAACATTTAAGCACTGGGGATCTACGATGTAATTACATGGCGATATGCAAGTTGACACCCAGAGAAAGAAATAAAATTACTGTAATATTTAAACTATGGATCAGTCAGAAAAGTGTGAACAGCCAGAGGAAGGAGTAAATAAAGACACCCAAGGGAAGAGACAATCTACTACAACAAAAGGAGGTCTTCTGTGACTAAAACAATGTTGGAATCAGACAAGCTTTAGGTAGTCTGAACTTCTCATAAATGGGTGGACACCATCAAGACTCTTTCAGCCTGAATTCCCTGGGGGAAGTAAAACATGGAATTGATTTGTGAATGAACCAAATGGAAGCCATTATTGTGTCCAAATGAAGCCATAAACTCTGTGCATATATGGAGAGCAACGGAGATGATAAGGGATCTGGAGGCTAAACCACACAATGAATGACTGAGGGAACTGGTTATGTATAGCTAACAAAGAGGAAGACTAGCATGATAGCCTCCAGTCCCCTAATCATCCTTGTTGCTCTTCTCTGCACTCTTTCCAGAGTTTCAAGATCTTTTTTATATTGTGGTGGCCAAACCTGGGATCCTTATATTAACCTACTATTAGATGAATGTAGCAAGTAATTAGATGAACATACTATTAGAGTCAGGAAAAGACTAGCACTTATGTCTTTACCTTACCTTTTACTTATATTAAAACATTTCATGCGCAATCAGAATTCAAAAATCACATATAAATGGGCCTTTTATTTGAATAGAATTGTCCAGTTGAGAGATATATATGTGGGTCTGTCTGATTGGGATAAATTGCCTCGGTATAACAGAAACATGATATTGTATTCCTTATTTTATTCTTTTCATTTGATCTGTTCCTTGCATTCTATTTTCACATGTGGTTTTATTGTGTAATATTTTAGTCTTTGCTCCATGTTTTGATATGGCCTGTGGGCTAATCAGCAATATAGTATCTTGAAAAGAACACCGGATAGGTGTCCTAGAACCTATCCAGTGTCCTAGGGTAAGTGAAAAGAACTTAGAACTAAGGAGAAATTGCCCAACTGTGAGAACAATCAACCAATGGAACAAGTTGCCTTCAGAAGTTGTGGGTACGCCATCACTGGAGGCTTTTAAGAAGAGACTGGACAGCCATTTGTCTGGAATGGTGTAGGGCAGCAATGGCGAACCTTTTTTGGCTCGCGTGCCAAAAGCGGGGAGAGCGCAGGGGGCGGGTGGGCATGACAGGCGTGAAACCCCCCCCCATTTTTTGCATGCTTTTTTTGCCCTCCCCAGGCTCCANCTTAGAGAGGGCTGAAAGCCCTATGAAGCGGTATATAAGTCTAACTGCAACATAATAGCCGAAATTATTGCTATGTAGATAAATCCGGTCTTGCCAATTGTGTCTTTTTTAGATATAAAATATGGGGAGTGAGCATTATCTTCAAAGAACTAGGAACTGTTCCAAGCTGTTCTTGAGAGCAGGTCAGGAATGCTTCGCAAATTGACATGGTGTATGTGGTTTTCTTTAAAAGGATAATAATTTAGAATCTCAATCTGAATCTCCCTCCCCATTGTAAGAATAAAGATTTCAGATGACTTCACTTGACTCTTAACATTCAGACAAGATCCACTTGCACATATGGAAAATGATGGCTTGTCTACAACATGTCAGTGGAAAACAAGATTGATTTCTCTCATACTCTCTTGTGCCTCTAAGTCCTTTCGGCTGCCATCTCATTATGGAATGAATTTTGTATGAACATGACCATAGAGAAGGAAATGAAGACTGGCTTCTCCATTTTCAGCCTATACATATTTCTTTTCTTTTCCTCAGAGAGTTCGTTTTAGCAAGATTTCCCACATAAAATAGTTGAAGGCTCTGGAGTTCCAACGGGTCAACGTACCAGCCAGGCCTTCCTCGATCAATCTGTCATGAATGACATCCAGATTACAGAGGAAGCAAATATGGCGGCCCCTTCTTGGGTTGTTTGGAATAACCATATCCATTTGGCTTTCAAATTAGATACAACATAGGATTTTGGAGAAATCAGCATATCAAATTTTCAAGAAATAAGACTTGTCAAAGCAAAGGCCAAATGGGCCCATCCAAATTCTATTTTAAAATCTATTTATTCCACTTTATTTTAGACGATGTCTTCTGTTTCAAAATGCTGGGATTTTAGGAATTTGGGTGAGAGATTTCTTTTCCATTCAGTACATGCCAACTTTGTCAGACCTGGCAGACGCTAAATATGGCTCCTGGTTAATATACTACCAGTGTTGCAAGGCTATCAGTTCAGAATCCAAGAGTCCAAATAATTGGTTTTTGTTCAGAACACACATCCCCTCGTTGCTAGCAAGGTTTATCGTGTGTCTGGCTTTGCTAAGAACAATCCTCAGTTTCAATCAATCTCCCCTTGGCAATCCTAGCTGAGGAATTTTCCGACTTGAATCCCACACATCTGCAGTGCACGTCTAAAAGGAACGGAGAGGATGCTCTTGTTGAAAGGTCATTCAGTCCGAGTCTGTCTGTCTGTCTGTCTGAAAAATTAGGAACCGTAAGAAGATGAAGAACGCATGCTTGAAGATGAGTACCAGCAGTGGGAGACAGATGTAACTTTGCTCCCAAATGTATGCGCATTCAAGCATGCATGGCCAGAAACTACTTCAGAAGATCTTGAACAGCACATAGTGATTTTATTTACTGTACTGTTGGCTTTGATTCCTTGAGAAATCTATTTTGATTGATAAATATGGGCAGTTAGTGCACACAAAGCTGATAAAAGATGGAGAATACTACCGTATTTTTCAGAGTATAAGATGCACCTTAGTTTTTATGGAGGAAAATAGGGGAAAAAATTCTGCCTACCAGCTATTAATCTGGCAAGGGTCCTTAGCCTGGTCAGCTTCAGCACATTAGTTCACTGTTTGTGAGCGAGCGAGCACACATTGGGTCTGAAACAGTAGTAGATTTCAAAAATTTTTAGAACCTCTTCTGTAGGTGGAAGTGGCTTGCCGGCCATGTGACTGGGTGGGAGTGGCTTGCCGGCCATGTGACTGGATGGGAGTGGCCAACTTGTAAAATGTGGTGAAACTCATTTAACAACGCTCTTGCTTAGCAACCAAAATGTTGGCTCAGGAACTCTGGCATTTGAAGCGTGCAAGTCTTAAAGCTGTCAAGTTACAAGACCCTTGTACCCCCTAACCCTTTAGAAAAAAAAACCCAGGGGTGTTCAAACTTGACAGCTTTAAGACTTGGGGACTTCAACTCCCAGAATTCCTCCTCACACTCTTCATCTTGATGATATGCAGATGGGTGGGGGGAGGGAGCTGGAACCGGTTCTAAATGGCACTGTAAATGTGTGGAACCTCTTCTATAGAAGAGGTTAGAATTGGCAGGAACCCACCCCTGGTCTAAAAGGCAGCTTCTAAAGCATAGCTGATCATCGCAGGGAGGTCCAGTTAGTAAAGCAGGTGAAGCGTGGAAGCGGCAAGGCGAGGCAGCAGCTGTTCTGGGTTGCCATTTTGGACTCCGCACCCCGCGCTTTCAGCCTCCGAACACTCCATTTGAGACCTGTTCAAGGCTGCGTGGATCACCAAAGCCCGAAAACATGATGTGCAGAGGCCAAAAACGGGGCATGTGGAGGCCTAAAAAATAATGCAGGGAGGCGGCGATTGGTGGCGATGTGCTCTGGCAATCCCAGCAGCCTTGAATGGGTCTCAAGCGGAGCATTTGAGGGCTGAAAATGCGAGGCTTGGTGTTAAGTCCTCAACTTGCAACTGGTCTTAAGTCCTTGACTTGCGACAGGCTGCAAGTCCTCAACTTACAATTGACAGCCGGCAACTGCTCAGCTGCGCTTGATTAGCTAAGGCACGGCTGGCTGAGCACGGGCTGTGGTACCTCTCCCATTAGTTGCCCTGCTTGACAGCTCACATATAAATAGCTGTCAAGCAGGGCATGGTGCTGAACTCTGTATATAGTTATTCTGTTAGCTGTTCTGTTGAAATAAAAGCTGTTCTACTTACCTCAGCCGTTCCACATTTCTTCTATCGATCCAGTCTTCAATACTGGCGATGAGGGTGGGATGCTGAAGGTTCTCTGCTAGAACAGCTAAAGGAGAAGGGAAACTATTAATTCCTCTCCTCTTCACGGAAATTTTTTTTTTTACCTCAACGCTGCTGATTGCTATGGCTTCGCTGCCTCAATTCACGTCTTTTGGCTCACCAAAGAAATCGTGGGCTGGGTTTCTCGAGTGATTTCAGTGTTTCTTGATTGCAAATAATGATCATCTACCTCCAGATGACCGAAAATGCAGTTTTTTCTCAGTTCGCGTGGACCTGAGATGTTTAATACTGCTAGGGTTCTAGCCTCACCCCTGCCTGTCCACGAATTGATTTGGGACACTCTCATTGCCAAACTCAAGAACCACTATGCTCCAGCGCTCTCTCGCATAGCTTGCTGCTATGCATTCCGGCAATGCATCCAAAAAGACTCAGAGACTGTAAGCCAATTCTTTCAGTCTCTCCAAACGGCAGCCAAACAGTGTGAGTTCATCGATTTGGATGACTCTCTGATCGAACAATTTGTGTGGGGGGTCCGCAATGTCCGCCTCAAGCGGAGGTTGCTAGCCTGCACCGATATTACCTTACAGCAGGCAGTGGACGAAGCCAGAGCCACCGAGCTGTCAGATAGTTCTACGGCTGAAATTCAATGGTGCCAGCAGCTGATCGCACCCCCCCCCCCAAAGAACCTGCCTCATCAACAAGTTGGCTTCCTTGGACGAACTCAATGAGGACCAAGTTGACCGCCTCCGGGCTCAACCAAGAAGACCACAACCACCTGCTCCTGCCCATTCCCCAGTGGCTGGCTACATGGGTTGTGGTGGCAATCACGCCCGCACAGCTTACCCTTTTAAAGTGGCCACCTACTGCCGCTGTAATAAAAAGGGCCACCTAGTTCATGTCTGCCATACTATGTTGCTGCCAGCACCTTAATCTGAGTACTGACTGATGCCTCCAAACCAGCGACGTCGGCAGCAGACCCAGAGGGATGACTGCTATGCCATTAGCAAGAAGCCACCGGAGGATCCAGCCGCATCGGTCAACAAGGCTTTGGCTGACGCAAATAAAATCACAGTCTCCTTAAAGATCGAAGGGGCTCCTTGTGTCATAGAGGTGGACTTGGGGTCCTCCCGCTCCCTCCTCTCCTGGGGTGCCCTCTCTAAGATGTACTCATCTCTCTGCTGCGACCAGCTGATGCCTACTGATACCACCCTAAAAGACTACCAGGGGACTCGGATTCCACCCCTGGGCAGTTATGTGGTTTGGGTGAACTATGGGGTTTTCCATGGGAAGTTCCCCATTCTAGTGGTTGGAAAGCCCCTGCCAGCCCTTTTGGGCCTGGACTGGTTCTCCTCACTAGGCCTGTCACTCTTGGGGGTTCACCAAACATCCACCTTGGCTACTTCTGTCGAGAACGTCACCTCCGAGTTCGCTGATGTCTTCAACAGAACATTAGGTGAATATAGGGGTTCCCCAATTGCCCTAAACTTAGACCCCCCAGGTTTCCCCTATCAGGCTTAAGGCTCGCAGGGTGCCATTTGCCTTGAGGGTGAAGGTTGATGCAGAGCTCAACAAATTGTGGGCACAGGGCATCCTGGAGCCGGTTAACCACTCCAAATGGGTGACCCCCATAGTGGTCCCTGTTAAGGCAGATGGCTCTATCAGGATCTGTGCTGACTATAAGTCAACCATCAACCTTGCCCTCCAGGCAAATCCATATCCAGTTCCGGTTGTGCAGCACCTGCTTCACTCTTTGGGGCAGGGCTGCATATTCACGAAACTGGATATGGCCCAGGCCTACCAACAGCTCCCAGTGGATGATGAGGCCACTGCTGCCCAGGCGATCGTCACCTACCAGGGCGCTTTTCACTGCTGCCATTTACAATTTGGCGTCTCCATTGCCCCGGGGATCTTCCAGAGCTCATTTGCTCCATGGGCTCCCTGGTGTGGTTCCCTACTTCAATGACGTCTTGATTGCTGCCCGCAGTCGATCAGGGCTCATCGAAGTTCTTCGGAAGGTCCTCGACCCTTTCAGGGGCACGGGCTTAAAATTGAAGCGCAGCAAATGTTCTTTTGCTGTGCCCCAGGTGGAGTTCCCGGGCTTCCTTGTGGATGCCCAGGGCATCCACCCCACCCCCTCTAAACTTGAAGCTGTCAGGAACTCCTACCTTCAAGGCAGAGCTGCAGGCGTTCCTCAGCCTCTTGAATTTCTATGTGCCATTTTTGCCTCACAAGGCATCAATTAAGGTGCCCCCTACCCACTGAGGCCTTCTCCAAATCAGGCCTCTCCTGCCCAGCCACCACCTCCTGGCAGCCTGTCCAGGCACCTCCTCAAGCTGTTCCATCACCGCTAGTTCACCTACCTGTTCCAAGGTTGCCGTCTCCATTGGTAGGCTCGGATGACATCACCTGGAGCTCCACTCTCATTGGGGAGGAGCTACTACAGGGACGACCTACCTCGCCGACTGCTCCTCTGCAACTGCATCATTCTGGGTGGGTCTGGCGCCGCCCCGCCTATCTAAGTGAGTACGCATGCACTCTTACTGGCCACCACCTCCTGGCAGCCTGCTCAGGCACCTGACAGCCGGCAACTGCTCAGCCGTGCCTGATTGGCTAAGGCACAGCTGGCTGAGCGCAGGCTGTTGCACCTCTCCCATTGGTTGCCCTGCTTGACAGCTCGCGTATAAATAGCTGTCAAGCAGGACTCTTTATGTAGTTATTCTGTTAGCTGTTCTGTTGAAATAAAAGCTGTTCTACTTACCTCAGCCATTCCACGTCTCTTCTATCAATCCAGTCTTCAATACTCGGAGCCCAACGATGCATGTCATTGTCTGTGGCAATCTCTACAGCCAGGAAGAGGATGTGTGGAGGCTGAAGGGTGGGGGCCAGCAGGTGGGTGAAGCTACATTTGGAGTATAAGACACCCAAATTTTCAGCCTTTTTTAGGGGGGGAGTGCGTCTTATACTCTGAAAAATACAGTATATCAGGATTTACAGATGCTAAGAGGGGTGTCCACAAAGAGGGCCAAAGAAAGTCAAGATGGCATCCATGACTACAGGTAGTCCTCAACTTACAATTGCTCACTTGGCAACCATCCAAAGTTACTGTCAAGTTCAAAGTCTGATTTTGCTGTTGCCGTCCTTCCCGCGTTTCACCTTGCCACAAAGACAGGGGGGAGGGGAAGTCACTTTTGGGGAATGCCAGTTCCAGGAGGCAACAAGAAATCGTCCTATGGAAACCAAGCTCATCCAATCAGATGTTCAGCAAAGACCTGGACAGTTTTCATAACAATACTTAGACATGTAATTGGACAAGGTGACCTACACAAATGAGAGGAGGGAAATTCCATTCTTTAATTATGTGAAACCCACAGGAATTAATCAGAGTTGGTTTTGCTTTCAATCTGTGCCAAAATGATGTGCTCAATAAAGCTTTGCATTAAGAGATAAGATTGTCTTGTCGGTTGGGTTTGTCAGTCAGACCCTTGACAGTTACAATAGACTTCTCCATTGGGACAAGGTTGACTCAATGGTTAAGAGTATTAGACTGTTCAAGGTGACCTTGACAAGGTCTATAGCTCAGCAGTTTGAGACCCAAGTGCCACGAGATGGAGTGAGCTCCCATCACTTGTTCCAACTCCTGTCCACCTAGTAGATTGAAACCATGCCAATGCAAGTAGATGAATAGGTACCGCAGTGGTGGGTTCTGCGAAGTACGGCCTAGTATGGGCATACCGGTGGCAGCTGGGAGCAACGGCCACCGTACCAGAATGGTGGCTCATTTGGCCCACCCGCCCACCCACATTCCTTACTGCTTTTTGAGGGAAACACATGCACAGCATATGGTACCTGCGCGACCTCCGCAGAGCAACTGGGGCATCGCAGTGCAGTGGCGTGCGCATGAGTGCACAGCACGCATGCCTGAGGTGGACACCTGGCCCTGAGATGAACACCCAGCCCCGTCGCAGCATACCAGTTGCAATGGAATCCAGGAACCCACCACTGAGGTACCGCATATAAACATGTAGGAAAGTAATAACATTCTGTGTTTGGTTCCACCACAAAACCGTGTTCGACTAAAGCGCGCTCGACGAAACTGCGTAGCTGACGTCATCACAGGGCGACAACAGCGTGGAGACAGAAGCACGCTGTAAATGCTAAACCTAAAATTAACCCCTAAACCTAAACCTAAACCTAAACCTAACCCTAACCCTAAACCTAACCCTAAACCTAACCCTTAACCTAACCCTAAACCTAACCCTAAACCTAACCCTAAACCTAACCCTAAACCTAACCCTAAACCTAACCCTAAA